CCCCCCCCCCCCCCCCCCCCCCCCCCCACCCTTCCCCCTCCCCTCCGCTCCCCCAAACCCGGACGGCATCCTTGCTCCACTCCATTCCTGAATCCCAGGAGAAATACGGTCTGGATTTGACACTGGGGCTGCTGTGGATCCCCAACGAAGAACTTGCAACTCGCGTTTGCTTCACGCTTTTCTAAGGAGATTCATACCTCTTCCGCAGGTCTTCTAAAACATAGAGGTAATTTTGCGGTTCACACCCACCCACTCGCTATTTTCGCCTCACGAGGAATAAAAGTCGTCACACCAATTCTGGTATTCATTCAAGTTAAAATTTCCTGATATTAGCCACATATTTTGGATGCACGGTGTCTTTTAATTTTTTTTTTTTTACCATCTGCTGTATTCACCAAGATTAGCTCATCAGGGATGGCAGCAAATCTGGTAAAAAGTATTTATTTCGTTTTCACTCCCAAGGAATATTCTGCAGAAGAATCCTTCCAGTTGCCGAGAAAAGGCATTCTTGGGATTTCTCCTTCGGAAGTAGGTCATGTAAGAAGCTGAGAGAGTCTGCCTTCTCTCCCCTCTCTCTCTTCCGCCTTTTCGGGGCACTCTCGTACTTATTTTTTTAATTATATTATTGATGAATGAGTTGCTTGGGGAAAAACAAGTTTTTCCTAGAATCCCATCCTCTGCAGACGTGCTGGCAAGAACCGAAGCGCGATATGGTTGTCGGGAGAGAATCGATAGACGGAAAGCGAAGGCCCCACGGCGCCGGCAGATTCTGCGGATTCCCGAAATTCGATAACTTTGGTTTGCTTCCGAGGATTCCTCGCGACTCGAACCGTGTGGTGATCGTTTGAAACCGTGACGTGTGAGATGTTGGCGTGTGAGGCTTCGATGAGTTCGATGAGTCCGACCGAAGCGAATTCTTGAGCGGATTAACGGCAGCTCTCATGCTCCTTATACTTTCACGACGCATTTAGCCGACTTCTGTATGGGCGCCATGTGATGCTGACACTCGTGAGGGGCCTCATTATTCGCTTGAGCAAATAATGAGACCCCTCATTCGTAACCGACATGGAAAGTTGTTATCTTTCGGTTACATGCAAAAGTTGGGCATGACGAATCCCAGATAAGAATCCATAAAGGTTCATCCGTCCGTGGAATCGAGGGGTGAAAACACTCGTCTTCTGCCCTTTTGGCCGGGGCAGCGATGTTGAAAATGCCCATAGCCCTCGACCGAGACCAAAACTTCTCGAGAAAAGTTCCATCTCGAGCGGGAACGATCGCGACGGCCACCGTTCCAGTCCGTCGAGATGGCGTGCATTCGAGATCGACGAGGAAATGAGTGAATCTCGTGCGTCCTGAATGCCACCTGAAGCTTTTTTGTGCTCTCGAGTACCTGTGGGACCGATGGATCGATTTCCGTGAGAAACTCCCAACTGATGCATCACGACACTCGACAAAACGCGTGACAGAAATGTGATGAGATGATGGGACCTCTGATGAAGCCTCTTTCGCGTCCGGCACGCCATGCAGCTCAAGCCCGAATGAACGTCCATCAACGCGATGTGAGTCGCAGATGGCTCCGCGATGCAGCCCTGATGCAGTCCAAGCTCACTGCAAACTCATGAGGTCTCACGACTTTCTCATGAGGTTGACTGAATATCTCATGAGGAAATCCTCTTGAGGTACTTAACGAGGTCTCACGACCTTTTCATGAGAATTGTGCGGTTCCTCATTAGGCTTCAAAACGTCCTCATTAGGATCGAGCCCTCGTGAGACCTCATGAGACCTCTTGTTCGAGAACCTCATGAGGTTCCCTTTTGAGATTCTCATGAGGTTATTTCAGCAGGGAGGCGATCTTGCTGCCGACTGCAGACGTCGAGTCCTATGGGGATCTCGTGAGATTTTTACCTATGGAGGTGTCAGGTCGGAAACGAGAGACATGAAAAGGAAAACTCTGGAATAAGATGATGAAAAGGCTACACTTGGGAAGGGGAGAAGAAACGGAGGCTTGTGACGACGGGACGACATGAAGCCGTTGTTGGTCATTGAATCCAGAGAAGGGAGTTTTTTAGGTGTGCACCGACACCTTTCTCAGTGCATGGATCGACTATATTCTGTGTCTTCTGTTGGAAACCCTCCAATCGTGAGGAAAAATCGAGAGTGCCGGTAGCGACGACCGTAAAAAGACGAGAAAATGAGGTGAGATGATGCTCGACCAGAATAGCAGATTTTATGCGAGTGGAATGCTTGGCTTGAGACCCTCCAACCAGGAATAACGATGCATTGTTGCATCGTCATGTCGGAAAACCCTATCACCGTTTCACCCGATCATCAGTTGGTGCCTCCTCGCAGATCAGTCCGTTAGCTGCCTGACTCTCGGGAACGAAATCATTATGAATGATACCCTCGTAGGCGAAGGCAATCGGTGTGTCTTTATCGCCTGGTCTGTCGCTGCGGTATTAGTGAGCCATGGCGATGACGGGATCCCTAACCGGAACCCTGGCTTTTCGTTTCAGGATGAAACAAGTAAGTCTAAGTTTTACCATCGGCAATCACCACGTCCGCAAAAGTGGAGTCAGCAGTTCCTGTTCGAAGACTTAGCTCACAACTCGCAATTGTGATACTGTCTACTCCTACGATGAAATATCATTCTTCTACGAGTGACTTTTCTACATATAGGAGCATGTTTTCAGCTGAAATTTAAATTTTCATGCAAATTCGTTGTGCCAAAGCAATACTATCAGCAACTATTGAAATGAAGTTAGCCATTGTGAATGGACAAGAGCGTCACGGAGATCACGTCGAGCTCCTTTTCTGTCTAAATTCATTCATTGTTGTCTCTTGCAGATGGTTTTCATGAGCTTTTTCCCAATAAATAGCAGATGAATCAATGAATACAAATCCAGAGAGTTTCCTCAATGTTCATTAGAAATTTCCCTTGTTTATTTATTTATTTATTTAAAGGAACTGTGAATATCAAATGTCACACTAGTCGTAAATATATCGTTTATAACTTTGATCCGAATTAATGGATTTTTGCTGCCTTGTTGATTTACTTTCAAATAAATGAATTTTAAATCTGGTGAAATATGACTTGAACAATAATATGATGCACTCATAGTTTTTTTTTTAAATATTTGTTGTCATACCCTGCAGACTCCGTCTGACGTAACATGGAAATTCTAAAAGAACGTTGAGGAATCTCTCTGGATTGATATTCATTGATTCATCTTCAATTCATTGGGGGAAAAAAAACCTCATGAAAACCATCTGCAAGAGGCAATCAACCATGAATGATTTTAAATGGAAGAGGAGTTGGACGCGGCCTGGATGACCAGGAGAAAAACATCGCTGCCAGCAGCCCTTGTCCATTCTCAATGTTTCGATGTTGATAGTATTATTCCGGATCAACGAATTTGGATGTCATTTTGCGAATCAGTTGGGAACATACTCATATATGCAAAGTGAAAGTTTCACGAAAACAGCTCCAGTGTGAGAGGAAATATTTAGGCCAAAAGTCTTTAGTTTTTTTTTCCCCTATCCTGTATATTGAGCTTTTAGGTAGTCGAAGTGTTGCCAAATAATCTGTATCTGGAAAAATCACATTCCTCCCACAAAAAATGTGATGGCTATGTGATGCCAGAAACGACACCACAGACGAAACCATACGTAAGTTAGATACGGAAACGGTGGCGGATCTCCTCTCCCCCATGACTAGATTCGGCATCAACCCTTAAAAAAAAAATTACATGCCTTCAATTTGGTTGGGGCCTGTGAAATGAATGCCCAGGTTTTACCGCGTATGAAAAATTAAACAGGTGATAGGAGGAAGGGCGGAGGTGTGGGGAGAGATCTAGGGAAGCGCCCCCTATGAATAATTTCTGCATCCGCCACTGTCCGGGAAACGGAAAAAAAAAGAACGAAAGACACGAACGAGATAGGTCTGTCGGATGTGACCCTGTCCGAGCGCGTAGCAGATGAGCAGAGCCGGCGTGAAGATGATGAAGGCGATGAGCGTCCCGATCAGGAGGTTCGTCCGGTCGCTCGCCAGCGCCATCGGCTCCGGCTTTGTCGCGAACTGGTCGTAACTGAGGACGTCCGCCATCAGGTACTTGGACCGGAACAAGGCCAAGCAGATGATCGTCAGGCCCTGGGGAGAAGATTCCGAACAATTGCTTTCTCGGTCTTCGGAGGAGAACCTAATTGGTCTGTTGAAAGATTTTCCTCTGAGGAATTGGGATCGTATCGATTTTACGAACTCGATTTTCTCTTTTGTATCGATCGTACAAACTGAATTTCCTCCTCGTGTAATTTCTCTCGGAGAGAATGCGATCATTACGATCTCCGGTGGAAAATGAAGGTCGTGACCGGAATCCCCGACGCTTCCGTCATGAATGAGAATGAAGACATTACCGTCTGACAGATGCCCAATCCGTAGGCCACTTTCATATTCACCATGGCTGAAAACTTCTGGGGAGAGACGACCGCTGAAAGAAAAGGCTTCCGAGTTCTACGACGGAACCTGAAAGACTGGAAGTTTTGGAATCGACCAGACCCCGTCTTATCTGTCCGTCGGACGATGAGGACTTGTGTACATGCTCGTCGATTCAACGTCATTTACGTAAGCGCTCCTACTTCGCTCTCTCTCTCTCTCTCTCTCTCTCTCGACGTGGAAGACTCATCTCTTATTGATATTCTTGTCAGAACCTCTTCATTCTGATGCTCTCAATAAAATATGAGCGATGGACGGGCGACAGGCTCCGATATGAGGCCTTTATAATCGAGTTGCATCGACATCGCTCTGCATCGACCACGTTGAAAATGCCTTTCCAATGGACCGATTATGATTATCACTCTCTGGAATCTGCAGTCTGGATCGGCAATCCTCGAATAAGAAAGAAATATTATTCACAATTTGCAAGCTCAATGAGCATGTCTGATTGAAGTCCGTCATCAGGTTTTCCAAACAAAAATGTTGGTTTCCCACTCATTAAGGTTTTTCTTCCCCCCACTTCCCTCTTCCCCCCTTCTTCCCCCCTTTCCCTCCTTCCCCCCCTTCCCCCCCTTCTTCCCCCCTTCCCCCCCTTCCTCCCCCTTCCGCCCCTTCCCCTGCGTTGTGCGCCGCAACAACACAAAAGTTCAGCTGTGTTTTCACAATGGAATGCATCGGAACTGGCGGTACCCACACGAATACAGAAATTGTGCTCTTGCACCGCTTTGCCAGTGCACAGCTCCAATGAGCTCCGCGCATTTCCCCGTTAATTTCCCTAAAATCTGCGGTCGTCGTCTCCTTCGGTCTTTCACCAAGGGACAAAAAGGGTCGCAAAAGGGAGGCACAGGCTCGGAAAAGGGAGGCACAGACTCGGAAAAGGGAAGCACGGGTACGGTCAATGAAAAAACTCTTGCCCGTGGAGTTGAATGGTGAAGATGAAGGCAAACCTCTTCATGTCGATTGCAGAGACGTCAAGTAGTGAGCAAACGAGTTGCGCATCGATAAAAAAGAATTCAGGAAGACAATTTCAGCGACGGGGAAAGTCTTTTGTCTCCGGAAATGCAAAGTGGATTCTTAAACTCCAAGATTAAACCATCCATGAAGATTCCCACTGAGATTTCCGCTCGAAGAGCTGGCACCTTAAAAAAAAATTTTTGCATGTTTGCCAATAGCAACAAAGCGGAAGGAGATGGCAGCTAATGTATATACTTTTTTTCGCTTCGCCCGACGATTAATTGAGTTTTAAGCGAACCAAATTTGATTCTATCAGGGGAAGAACACAAGCGAAAATAAATGACGTGACAGGAGCGACTAGAATTCCCATTATATCACCCAATTTCGTCCGATCGATCTCCAGTTCCAGTTTGTTGGCACCCCAGACACGAGCAATGACGGAAAAATTCATCACCCGACCTAGATAGGATCCATTAGAGGGGAGATTCGGGACTCCATTCGTAATCGATTACTCGCGATGAAATTTTCTGGCCGCGATGATTCCATCAAACGATCGATTGAGGTAACGCCATCAGTGGCCCCATAAAGGGCATAAAGGGCATCCTCATGGGCATGGGAGGAGCCGTCAACACGACTCAATTCCACAAACACGAAGGCGCTACTGAGCGCGTCCAGTCTCCCTTTCCGGACGACAGAGCAGACGAAAAGGGGCGGGGCTTGGAATTGGACCACTCGAGGCTGAAAATGAATGAACGGTGTTTCCGGCCGGCGGAGAGGACAAAAGTTGCCAGTGGCAACCAAGTGGAAGTGAAGGTGAAGGTTATGCCGAATCTTTCACGCTTTACAAAACCTACGGTTGAAATTCTAGGTTTAACATATTTTTGCATCAAAGAATATTTTCTAAAGTTCATTTCCGGAGAATTTAAAGTCTCTCTGATGTTTGGACGAAGAGTAACCTTCAAACGTTAATAAGAAAATTTCACGTTTTAGGCACAACGGTATCATCAGCGTTCTGCAGATCTCTCTCATTATTTATGTTATTTACGGCCGTTCCCCTCTTGATGCGTGCTCGATCGTGCGGCGTCATCAAGTGGCATCTGACAGGTGCAAACCCGGGACTGCAACAAAGGTGTGTTCATAAAAAAAAAGGCTGGACCAGACGAGACGGACGAGGGTCCATGGTCCGATCGGAAACTCTTCTCTCTTTCCTCTCCGATTCAAAAGAAGGCCTCACATCGAGGCCTTCCTTTCTCGGCTGGGACCTGATTACGCTGCACGGTCGAGAATAATATACCGAGAACGCCGCCATGAAAACAGGCTTTATTGCGCCAAAAGGGGAAAGAAACCATCCGGCAGCGTTGAATGATTTATTCCCCTCGGCGGCAACTGCGGTGGAGAAGCTGAATTTATTTACTGAGGTTTCAATGACTTTTGTATTTTGTCACCTTGACACTTTAAGCTTGAAACTTGAAACTTTCGAAAAGTTTTACAGTGTTTCCTCTATAATACGCGAAAAAAAAAACTTTTAGTCTGTTTCTTATTGCGTCAAACGGGTATTAGACCTAAGGGAGTTAGCGGAATCTGGATGAGAAGGGAACCCGACCGCGAACAAAGTGGGTGGGATCCGTTCCCTCGCTCGTCTTCGTGACGTCATGAATGACGTCATCACGTTTCCTTTATTCCAGCGGTTCTCAGACTTGTGCGGGCTTCTTTCGGGATACTGCAAAAAAAAAAAAAAAAAAAAAAAAAAGGAGATCCAGCGGTTCTCAGACTTGGGCGGGCTTCTTTCGGGATACCGAAAAAAAAAAAAAACAGGTGAACGGGCGAGATGACGCAAGTTTTCTGAGTTCACCCCTCAGGGTCTCTGCCTTGAGTTTCTGATCGAGGATAAGATCGAGACGGCTCTCGCCATCTAAATTTAAAGACGGGTGGATTAAGAAAGTTCTTTTGAGTGAAAGGCAGACACTCGTCTCGGGATTCGTTGCAGCCTTGGTCGGCGAAGAATGAGACGGCGATGTCATCAAAACTTTCAAACTTTCAGTACGTAGGTTGTGTCTATAGATACTTGGGCAGAACCCCACGTTCGAGGGAAAGCAATAAATCTTTCCAGGAATAAAAAAAAATCTGAAGTTCTTGATGGGTTCCTGACGTTTTGAAATTAAATCATCTTCGTAGCCACTGAGGTAATGGCCCAGCCGAAGTCGATCTTTGCTGGGACGAGAAATGCCACCATGGGAAAAGGGTTGCCGAATTTTTGCACCACCGAACAGGGCCTGCTTTACCCTCATGTCTATGGCAGAGTGATGCATATAATGGCCCACACCAGGCGCGATGATCCCTGCCGAGATGAAGATGTGCCCTTATGAGCCGTTCGCGTGAGACGCATCACGAGGCGAAGATCCCGAGGAAGTAAAAAAAAAAAAAAAAAATCTAGATAGGATTCTTGCGAGGAGATGCAATTATCCCGCGGGACGAGACCCGGGCTCGCGTGATGTGATCCGTTTCAGTCCCCGGTTCACTCTTATTGAAAATGATATCTTTTTGCTCCTTTGGCCATCCGCCTTCTTCGGGAACTGTTGTTTCCGAGTCTCACCACAAGGTGGCACTAACTCACGCGATGGGCGCTAAAGTGTTCTTGGCATTCTTAGGGGGTCCGTGATCGATACATAAAGGTTGCAATTGCGTTGTATGCAATGTATACATGCATATAGACTCAGGACGCACGACGTAGCCCCTCATTCGTGAGTCTCTCACAGGTTCTGACTGGATCGTTGCTGTTCTCTCCATTTCCATCATGGACGGCGTTGCGATTGGACTCGGGGTCACCGAGACCGTAAGTCGCTCCACATTAACCAGATCATCCACCTCGAATAAGCCTGTTTCTCAAATGCGAATGTCCCGAGAGCATGTACTGACTGAACCGGTTGCAGGTGATGACGATCATCTGCATCGCCCTGATGAGAGTGAATCAACTGACCATCATAGAAGCGATCCCGACCGATACGTTCTTGTACGACAACCCCGCCGACTCCATGAACATGCTGGTCGGGACCCTCATCGCTTTCATCATCATCACACCGTCCCTCCTCACCGCCTATTTCAAGGGGGACGACTTCGTCCGTCAATCCTACCTGGTAAAGACACCGAGGAAAACTAAGGTCCAATCGGGCAGTGACGTCATTTGGGCTGCTCCCTTTGCATCCATGAGCATCAATTTTAGGCTTTCGTTCGCGCGAAGGGACCACCTCGATGTCGTCGGCGCGTTCGAGTTCTGGAGGTCCTCTCAAAATATGCTATAACAAGGAACAATGGAATGGAAACGGAAAATCACGCTTCCTTCGTTTTCGCAGAGTCCTTTGCTGAACGCTGTGGGATTCATCCTGTTCCTGGCTTCGGGTTCCCTCACCATCAACCACTTCGTTCGATGGGGGCGATACCCTTTTGGGCAGAATTTCCCAAATTACTACTACGACCAAGGCCTGGCTCTGGGATCTCTCATGATCATCAACTCCGTCTTTTATCTCTCTGATGCCATCTACGCCTTCGTGAAGATCAAGGGACTGGCGTAAACCTTGATGCACGTCATGCTGCCTCTGAATTCTCGTTTTGCATCTTTTATCACTGGGTCTGTTTCCATGAAATAAAGCGCTTTTCTCGTTTCCATCGCATGCGCTGTGAAGTTCATTACGACTATTACTTTTTCCCTCCCATGAGCAGTATGAATAATAGGCAGGTCGAAGGACGATAGCATGGATCGATTGAGATTGTCGGCCTCCTGCTGCACAATGTGGGCGCGTGCCGTAGAAAACGAGGCTGCCTCGGCTGTCACCAGGGATGTGGGGATGTGGGGATGTGGGGATGTGGGGATGTGGGGATGTGGGGATGTGGGGAGTTCGGGAGGTGGGGATGAATTGAAATCTGCTGCGTGAATTCCATGGAGCCGAGACTCTTCGTAGCTTTCGATGGCAGAATCCCTTTACTTCTCCGTGGGGATGCCCCAGGTGCAATGCTCACTCATCGTGAAGGGCAAGAAAACCTGGGGCGTGACGGTCTATTGAAATCCTTGGTTTTTCGTCATGTCAGATTTATTTTCCAATTATTCCCGTATTGGAAAATTGGAAAATGGCGGCATTTAGTATGCAAAATGCCGTCAAGGAAAAAAATCATGAGACTTAAGTAAAACGTCCTGTCAGGAATTTTCTCTTCCCGTTAAACCTTCACAACTAATTACATAACTGAAAACTTTACGGAATGGAATATCTCATGTCGAGATGTCAAATTTCTGTCTCGTAAAAATGAGAATGTTGGCTTTGATTGCCAGGAAGATGAATCCTTCAATAAGAGTCAGTCGGATGGATTTCAAACGAATTTTCAGTCATTGGAGGATGAAAAAAAGCCTCGAGGGATGAATAGATCCGACGACCAGAAAGATTCTCTATGAACCATGTGAGCATTGTTTACCGATAATTCCACCCAAAAAGTGATCGCGGAATGGCGTTGGTGGTAGGGCCACCGCCAAAACATGCTTTCATGCTCCATATCGCCCACTGGCGCCTTAGCCTATTCCCGCGAGTCAAGTGAGTGTCCTCTGAAGGGGGGACGGCCTATCTTTCCTTCCACACACTTCGTCCCAATAAATAGACGAAGAGGGCAGGGTGCACTTCATCACGGCTTGTATGGGACTCCAGACGGCAACTCTTCTGCCGCTTCAGTCAAGTCGCCAGTTATTCTATGTTCATTTTTATGCGTTCTCCACGACCGGCTTCAAAGTACGTATTCCACTTCAGATGCTGCAGTTTTGCTTTGGTCTCAAAAACGCAGACCTGACAACTAGGTATCACTCCGATCTTCACTGTTTGTTTCCTCCATCTCTCTCTGAAACCTGCAGCCCACCTCGAACCGCTCTCGGCGTTCTCGATCGAACGAGTCACGAGGAGCCAAAGAGTCCGTACCTTCAAGTACGTTACCGGTCGGCAGACTCCAGCTTTTCGAATCCAAGCGACAAGAATCTGAGAAACAGTACCAAAGTGGACTCCACATTACTTGCAAAGCGTCTTCAGCGCGTTCTCACGTCTCATATTCAGAAATTCTCTCTCTCTCTCGATGATTTTGGAATTACTAAACCAGTAAGATGCAGGACGGAGAGCAACCCGGTATTCCAAAACTCATCCTTTTGGGAATCGATGGCCTATATGTCTACTTTCTCGCCCTTGGATCGATGTACGTTATACGTTGTATAATGAATGGTCGATAGGAGTGGCACATACGCATATACCCTAGGTCCAATAACCATGACGTTGTCCTTCAGGACTTCGTCCCTTTTGTCATCGTGAAGCCCTTCGTGCCTGTCACAGCATAAACAAGCGAAGGGATCTGGCACCCAGAAGGGACACTGACGACTTCACGACGTGCACGTCATGAGGCCGTCATTACGAGAATCCCATTCGATCGAAGCGGGAAATAACTCCACAAAAATAAGCATGAATCAAACGAGCAGACGATAACGACGCTCTCGAACGGCCTTAACAGTGTCATTACTTCTTTCGACAATATAGCGGACGATGTCACGGCAGTGAAAGTCGGTATACTGGTATGCGTGGTCCGATCCAGGAGCCAATTACTCGCTGCGGAGTCAACGACTCATATTGCTCCAATGCCGCAGTCCTTCCTATCCCTGCCGAGATGTGCCCTCATGGGCAATGAGGGCACCTCTCGATCGTGTGAGACGAAGATCTCGAGGGAAAAAGAATTCGACTCTTAATTAGCCAGCAGAAGAAATCCGATCGATCTTGCTCGTTCTCGGGTCCTCGGGTGCAAGAGTGCCATTTATGTACTTACGGCCGAAGCGTGAAGCGGTGCTGACCTCTCGGGGAATATTCTTGCGTTCCCCGGAACATTAAGGGGGAAATTCCCTGCGGAATAAATCCAGCATTACCTTGGATTTGCCTCGATGATCGTCATCGAGGCTGGCTGCGGGCCGAAAATCCCCAGGCCGCCGGGATCGCCGCTCGATCTTGGACCCTCATGTTCTACAGACTAAAATCTCACTTCTTCTGGAGTCCAATTTTGTATTCCGGTATATTAGGTATTACCTTGTGACATGAGGCGCCTCCCCTTACGTACCACTATCCATTAGCGATATTGACATGAAACGACTCGCCCACTGCCAATACGACTCCGATGAGTGAAGGATTTCTCCACCTCTCCCCGAAACCTGCAAGTCCATCAGGATAAATTTCACCTCCCGTCGAGTTCTTGAACGAACGAATATAGCGGAACCGAAGAATTGTCCTCTCCCCTCGCAGACGGTAGGACCAAATCCAGGTGTGAGACTACAAAACCCCTGGTCTGAGGGGCACGAAGGCCCAGTCTGAGGAGCACGAAGGCCAGGTCAGCAGCCAGTCGACGCGCCGCTGCTTTCGGCCTTCAACCATGTTACCAATTAGGAAACTCCAGTTTCCCCAATCCAAACCGCAGGAATGTCAGAAACAGCGACACAGTAGACCCCAAATTCCTTGAAAGCTATCTTTAACGCCTCGCCAGGCCCCAGCCTGAGAAATATATATCTTCAAATTGAGAAATGACGGATTGATCGAGAGTTGTGAGCTGTAAAATACTGGGGGCAGTTCCCCAGAGCCAGTATAGCGAGGCTCATAGCGACACCTTATTCGTGGGGCCACACCCTTGGGATCGAAGACCGTCTTCTTTCCGTCCCTCGGATGTATATATTTCGTGAGGGGTCGATAAAAGGCCGGGCCTATGCAAACAACCTCTCATGATCACGACATTGGTCCGCTTTAAGATGAGTATCTGTCACTCGTTTATCGCGGCCCATCGTGAAGGCCGATCCAGCTCGGATCCCTCGAGGACGCCAGCGTCTCTGCTGACCCTCGTTACCTTCGTCTTCGGCCCGATCCCTCGTGCACGCGAATGGAGGATCCATATATGGATGTCGATAACGACTTCACAACGAGCGCGTCGTGAAGTCGCCGTTACGTGAACTCGATCAGAAGAGTAGTAGCTGCACAAAACCGAGGAAGTAGAACATCTTGTTCTGGTCCTGTGCATTTTTTCTCTTTCGACTCGCTTCGTGGATACGTCACTTTCCGTTGTCCTGACGATCGTTAAGCAGATGTTGACTAGATCTTCACACATTTGTTCGTTCGTGGCAGCATTCACGGCAAGAAGGGGGAGGTTTCGTGCCGAAAATCTGTGTCATATGAGCGATCCGACCAGCTGATACATGTCTCTCTTTCCGTGAAGCGAGACCAGATGATATGGAAGAAGGCCTTAAACCTTACGGGGAATAGCGTCAGGGCCTTTCCTTTGGCATCAAATGATGTCAAAAGAAAATAGAAACAGAGACGTTCGATAGTTCGACACACATCGAAATGGGTAGGGAGAGGCTAAACATACAGTGGGCTTGCGAAATCCACAGGGGAAAGGGGGAAAAAATATCCTGAGGGGAGAACACATACACCGGTAAATTTCTTCCCCCGGAAAAAAATTTACTGGTGTAATTTTTCCAGGGGGAATGTTTTTCTTGCCATGAAAATATCACGGGACACCGGCAAGGACTGGAGAGGAGCCATACGACCCTATCGTGACTGCCGCTGATGAAGGCCGATAGATGGACCGCTTCTTAATCCCTTGAGATTGGAAACCTCTCGCCTTAGCTAAAGCGCATTTAAGTCTCCTGCTGCGTTTCCATTGAGGTACATCACCTGACGATTTTCGTTTTCCCGGCGGGTTGCCCCGAGTGACGATCGTCTCGACGTGGATCCATCGAGGGTCCTCGTTTTTTCTCCTCGTGTCAAAAGATTAATGTGGGCCATTTATTCTGCCTGATGCTGGGCGCTTTAGGCGCGTCGGTTTAGAAGCAGGATATCGATGGATCTCCTCCAGATACACAGAAGTTCGAATCTCAAGGTTTGGGAGGAAGGACAGAAACATTTTTGAAACATCTCGACTCTTCGGATAGAGAAGAATAAAAAGATTTTTAAAAAAGTGTCACCTTCGTCTTCGTCTAATCTTCGCCTAACCTCCAAAAAATCGATTATTTTCGCGACAGTATATCCACCTCCTACGTCAGGGATTAGGGCCATGAGAAGATAATAAAAAAAAGGAGCTGAATGGTAGCATTCCAAGTGAGAAATCTCTTCCAAGTTTACGTTTGAACCCGAACGATCGGAAAAACTTGACTCCGTTCGGAGCGCAGCCGCCGGGATTCATGCATTTCATGGCCTTGCCGCGACGTGAACGTTGTCAAGGACATGCCTCGGGGCCCTTCCATCGTCGCTCTGCTGAAGCTCGTCGAAACTTCTGTCAATTTTGGCAAGGTTCATTCTCGAGTACAACCCCTTACGATTGTCCCGTACGCTCGTACCACTCCTATCTCGAATTGCAGAACGAGACCGAAAGAGAGCAAGAAGAAAAACGGGCAGTGCGATTGCTTTCCTTTTTTTTCCTTGAAAGGTCTATGCTGCGAAATGGATGATCCGTCCGTCCCGAGAAGGATGTATTTCTAAGGCGTATTCGATAAACGCGATCACTCGGAGGATTTTACATTCACTGCTTTTCTCATCGTTCCCCTTTCATCATTCATTGATGAAATGAACGATGAAATGAACCTCGTTTATTTCATCGTTCCCTTTCTTCTCGCTTGCCA